GCCCTTATTAGTCGTTATCAGCTATTATCACTTTCTGTTTCCCATCATTGTGATAGCATTCACGTTGTGATAGCATGAGTTTAATGTGGTGTATCGTTCATTTACTGTCAAATCCAAGCTTGGTAATTGACGAGTTAGGCAAAACAATTACAAGTGTTAAGAATGAATGTTACCAAAGAGATAGTACACGTACATAGAGGAATACAAAATTCAAAGGAAGCAAATCTAACAGAACAAACTGTACCAGATGCCTGTACGATCGCACAAAAGCACCGAGTCAATGCACTAATCGTTCGATTGTGACAGAGTCAACCCTGCGTTGCGCAGTTTTCAACGGCCACGTTGCGCAGTTTCGCCCGATTAGACACGTTCTCTCGCGCGAACATTCACACTCGCATGCTCGAGCCGTCTGTGCGTCTCCGCCCATACAGCGTGCGTTGAGGATCTCTCAACGTGCCGTTGCGAATTGCGACGCGGTTGACTTGATTGTGCGTTGCTTCATGCAGTGATTTGTGATTTTGTCAGTGCGAAGCACAATTCAAACCACTGAAAGCATTGGATCACAGTAGAAAGAATGATTGCACCAGAGAGAATGAAGTCACACTAATTCAACAGCACACGGATCGACAGTGGAGCATTTCTTCAGCGTTAGACTTATCACCTGCATCACCTGTCGTCCCGTTGATCGTCGATTTGCTAGAAGCGAGGCGCCAGCAAAGTCTCCATTGTCCCTGTCGCGTGCTAGGGTGGTCCAGGTGGATCCTCCTTGCTCGAGAGGACGAAGTCCGTCATTCCTTTCGTTCAGAGCTTTCGTGAAGAAGTCTTTACATCGAGCCGACGGTCGTCCAGGTCTTCGTTGGACGTGGGCATTGCGGATGCTCCTCCCAGCCTCTGTTGCTTCAGCTAATACTGCTGCTCTTCGCTCCTTGAGATCTGCCTTTATCGCCTCTGCTGCATGGCTTCGCAAGCTCGGACGTGAGTCGGTGATTGCCTGCAGCTCGTGCGGCTCCACGCTGGCGTATCAGTTCGAGAGTTTCCGGAGACAGACGTCCCTTGGTGACTTTCAAACTCTCTGCCTTCTTGCCACAATCGTGAAGATGTTCAACGAGCCGATAGTACTCCTCGTCGATGTTTTCGATGACGGAATCCTCCCATAAGCTGACGAGGGAAGCGAAGTGGTCCCAGTTGATGACTGTCCTGGGGCTTCGCTTCCTGAACTTTGAGGCTCTCTCAACACGCCCGCCCACATCTGCGTAAGGGAATCTTGCCGTGTAGGATAGCGATGGTCTTGATCGTGTGGAACTTCGGAACACAGCGATGCCGGTCAGGCAAAACCTTCGATTGAAGATGACGTGGTCTATCTCGTTATGGAACTGTCCATCAGGTGACTCCCAAGTCCAACGAAGGTGAGGGGGCTTTTGGAACTGTGAGTTACCATGGATGGTGTTGGTCGACATGATAAACTCCGACAGTCTCTCACCCTGCTCATTCCATTCCATTCCGTGAGTATACCGATGTGAAGTTCTTCAGCCGTTCTTTGAGCCGGCATTAGCGTGTGCAAGTGCGGCGATGCCTGTTGAGAAAGGTTATATCTTCCGGTCTGTATTCCATAGAATGCTTCGTGTTCTTCTTCGTCGTAGCTGGATGTTGGTGCGTAGGCGACGAAGATTGTCAAAGCAGGAGTTGAACCACATCTTCTCAATCTCAAACGTCCGATTCGGGTCGTAAGGCTTTCGTACGAATAGTCTGTATATGGGTAGAATCGATGTTTATGGCCAAGTGCGTGTTGACGAGGACACCCACACCGCCAACGCCTCTGCTGTCGCATGTTCCAAGGAACAGTTCTTCTCCAGTATCGAAAACGGCGTGTAGCGGGCGGTGCCTTCTCGTCTCGGTCAGTCCGATGACGTCGTACTTGATCTTCCTGGCCTGCATCATCAGATCTTCGATGTGAGCTTCGGATGCAAGCGTTCGTGCGTTGAAAGTACAGATCGCCATCTTAGTCCTTCTTCGTTTAGGCAGCCTATCCGGGCCCTGAGATTCTAGCAGCCTCTCCCGAGCGGTCCTACCCAACGCTGCCGTATTGGGGGCTCCCTCAGGTTCAGGGGAATGAGGCCCATTCCATATTGCTGTTTACGATACGTATAACTTGCGGCTCTGGGCTGTGGGCTAGCATAGCTCCAGGGAGATTTAGCCCGTATCTGGGCGGAAAGGGGCTTAGAGTTTTGGTAGCGGCCCGAGCGCCTCCATGTATATTAGATCCCGCAGTCCTTGAATGGCAAGCTTTGGCGGCCGGCGGATACAACCGGCAACACAGAGCGCACAACACGCAAGCAAGCATGGATGCGCACTGCGTGGAAGACAATGTTTGATTCAACCGAGGACTACAGAACAAGTGGCTGTCATCCCTGAATTACACACGCGTTAGGGCAAGGCAGTGCTTTTGATCCGCGATTTATCCCCTATCCGCCACCTGGAGTCACGCAGGCTCGCCACCAACCGGCTCGTGATCTTTCAGTGAGAGAGGACCCTCAGTGAAAGAGATCCGTGGTGTTCGGCTTATATACACATCAGATCTATGTTGTACAGTCTCCGAAAGAGTTCTAATGGAAACGGCAAATGCATGGGAACGGGTACTGTAAACAAAATATGCTATCATAGCCATACGATTTGTGAACTGAAATTACAAATTACAAATTCACTCGTACACACTTCGCGATGCACGTTCCGCCTTTCAGATTATATCTAAGAGACAGCACCTCATGTGGTGTGCACTCTGCGAATTTCGTGACAGGTTGCGTGTTACCGACGCTTATCAGCGCATTGATCAGGTTCAGAACCAGTTCCATTCATTAGCACTGTGTGCCTCTGGAAATGTCCTAGAATCGGCCGAATGGCGCGGTTGATCCTGGCTGACCTTCAACGTTTCAAATTTCGCAGTTAACCCGATGGTGCGTATTTGGGCACCGTGCGACAACGGACAACTAACTAAGATTACGACAACCCCTCCCCTATTCTCTCTAGATTAATTCCTGAGCAAGCAGAGGGAGGGGTCACTGTAGGCCATTTTTATATTCGCGGAACTTTCTACTTCTGCTCGGCTAGTATCCAGGAGCAGCGCAATTGATCGAATTCGCGTTCCCATGTTGAAAACAGGGTTTTGTTAAGGTATGTGCGCGAAGACACTCCGAAATACAATATCATGTCAGACGCGAAATGTAAAGTTGTGGGAGGCACGACTCACTGCATTCAAAGCCGCCCACGCACGTTGCGGCTATCTTCATTGAACTCTTGTCACCTGAAGTGCACTGATTACGCCTTGGAAAGTTTGCACCAATTTTAATGAATATACAAGGGAAGGAAAACCTTTATGAGAATTTTTGAAAAACGTTCGGCTATGCTATCGCCTTTGAAGCGGTGACGCAAAAATGGTGATGGTCGTGTAAAAGTGCTCCTTCCCCTATCAAGCTCAGGGTAAATTTCGGTCGAGGATTTCATTGATTTATACTTCTTATTACAGGGAGGAGGCTTCGGTACCAGTTAGAAGGTAACTAAATAGTATAGAGCGAAATAATGATGACATTAACCATAAGAGAGTAGCTATGTACAAAAATCAAAGGAAAAGAAATCAGTCACATTTCACAGTTACCGAAGCGTGGGCTTTTGAGCACGAAAATGAAAAGTAGGTACAGTAATCGGTTGACCACACATGAATAGAGCAGAAAACGGCCAGGACCATCAAAGTCACACTGCTGCTTAGTATATGTGCAAAGACTGCCCAAACACTAGTCCATGTTCGACCTTCTTGCAATCTTGGCATGATTAGTTCAGTAGGAATGATTCTTCAAGCCTTTCAAGATTGAACTTTTTATACAAGGCTTACGTTTCGGCTTCTTCGCCTTCGTCAGAGCCTGAAATGGTCAAAAGCATGTGTAACTTGCTCGCTCAAACGCCTCAACAAAAAACTCAAGACTATTTCACTAGACTAGGAAACTTCAAAGGTATTGATCGATGGAGACATGGGACTGCTCACCTTGAACTCCGCCGCTAAGACAGGGACGACCACCCTCGTACTAACTAGTATGTGGTAACTTAGAAGTACCTCCCACCGACCTCATGGTAGATCAAAGGTTACAAAGGTCGAGGAAGGGTGCGAGTTCGCGGGTTATGGCCACACACTCCTTCCTGTTCATTTGAGGGTCTTTAGCAGTGATCCAAAATGCTTCCAGCGTCTTGCGCGCCGCGACCTCGGGTTCCAGCGCCAATATGGACACGGAAACGCCAAACGATGAACCTGCGTGGTGTATAACCCGATGAGCTCCTAGGGGGGTATGTGTTTGTGATCTACCCAGCCCATCCAGATGTTCCTTAACCCGCACGCATAGGGGGCGGCCTGTTTCCCCTATATACTCACTTCTACAACTTTGACAAGCAGTTACGGGGCCTGGCTATGGGGCAACGACTAGCGCCTGTGCTGGCCATAGCGTTCATGTCGAAAATTGAGAAACCCGTACTGGACCGTAGCCCAATCCTATACCGCTACATCGATGACTGCCTTATCATATGTTCAACTCAGGAAGAAATGGACATTTGTTACGACCTCCTGAATAAGCAGTCAGAAAACATCAAATTTACACGGGAAAAGCCCGTGAAGGATTGGCTACCTTTTTTGAATGTTCAAGTCCAGGTAATACGGGACACAGTAAGAACGAAACGCCTTTAAAGGTTTTTAGCAACTTTGCCACTCTGAATTGTCGCTCACAACTAGCGAACAAATGAAATTACAGGTCGAAAACACCTGCACCGTCAGACAGGAAAAGAAGCTGACGAAACAATAGCGAAAAAAATGCAGGTGCGAATAATTGAGGTTATATCCATAGGAATGGAACTGCATCTGAATGTGTCAACTCCTTTTAAAGTAGACAAAGTTCCAGGTAAAGGTATTTGTTGAAGAAACACTCCGAAAAGGTGTTCAAGGCCTTATCGCTGAATTCAAAGGAATGAGGCGTATGAATGACTTCAATCTTATGACCGAGTTTGTGGTTCAGAATCCACTTGGCCGTAATAGATACAAGGTGTGCACGTTATGTTATTAATGATGCAGCATACGAAATGTTGTTCTCTAACCCGCCGTCTGACTTAGGCATTGCCTTTGGCTATGGTTCCCTTTACTGGTTTGGGTTTAGGAGTTCACTGAGCAGTGTGTTAAAACTCCGTTACAGCGCAACGTGATGACCCGTTTTCGCTGCGAAACGGGTTTCACCGTGACCTACGCTGGTACTGGGATACGAGTGTCACATGTCATCG